CAGTAACGATTGCAGGTACAAAAACACTGATAAAATAAGTACCTCTACATGTTAACGTACCTTTATCAAGTTCAGCTAAAGCAGTGTTTGCATCTTGCCAGTTGTCAGCTGAATTACTCGAAGATTTCTCGGCAAAGTTCATCAAACCACCAAAACTCAATGTGGCCGCCATATTGAATCACATATCCCATAATTCAACACCAGCATGCTCGGCGGGCTATCTGATGCTTCCCGCGCATTTTGAATTATTTCCCGGGAGTTTCGATCTTACGGCCGTGGCGTTGCTCAAAAATTTACTCCGATTTTCATGAAATGAAACAAAAATGACTCTTCTTACCTCAATATTACAGCGTCAGCTTGTTCCTAGTCCTGTGCGTAGAGGTGAGTGCTGAAATGTAGAGTAAACAAACACATTTGAATCTTATGTGTGGCTTTATACACAAGCTTTGCTCGTCTGCAACTTGGCCAATTTGTAAACTTTTGTATTTCTTTCACGACTTCTTTCAGCTTTGCCCGTCGATTTTGCATTGGAGGCTTTCGCTTGTATTAAAGATGATGAACATCTCGTCGAAAGAAGAGAGGTAAGCTCATACAAATCTACGTGGCGTTCGAGAAATCCCTCAAAATATAGCAATAATATAGCTCATTGCTGGCATGTGATCGAGCTACAAATGTAAGCTTATGAGCTTACACTTGTACTTAGAGAACTACCATCTCTCTTTCAGATCGATGTTCCACCGTTTGCTTGTCGCTTCAACAAGAGTAAGGCACCATTATTTTCCAAGAACTTGCCCTTGCTTTGCTTTATTTCTGTAGACTATAAAAATGCTTAGTTCATTTGTTTAATTCATTCAAGCCGCTCTAGGTGGTCATATGTTAGCCATAGCAGACGAAGACGGCTGGGTTCAAATTCTGGATTCCCGGAAAACAGGAAAAAGATCGATTATTAAGGGTAAGAGACGCTAAAATACAGGTTTTGTTACTTATGTGCTTTGTTAAATTCCAAACAGACTTTTTCTAAACTTTTTGAATTTATCTTCTCCCACCCTGGGTTCATGTAGATTTCTGTAACTTATTACTACTATCCGCCTTGAGATTTCATCAAACATACGCTATAATACTTCCTGCGATGAAAGCTCCTTTGGGTTTATTAAACAATCTCCTTTCAGACGTATGAACAGGTCCACAAATATAGGTGTATAGTTTAGAAATTACAATCTTTTTTTTTTTTTTTGAAGTCATGGGCCAGGAAATCGACCAGTTTAAAGAAAGGAATTGACCATTNTGTTTTTTTTGAAGTCATGGGCCAGGAAATCGACCAGTCTAAAGAAAGGAATTGACCATTGCTAGAATAGGACTGATGAAACTATCTAGACTATCTAGATAGTTTTTGACCAATAGAGAGGGTATGGCTGCACAAGTGGGTTGCTTTTGTTCCAATATTTTTTTGGCAGGGCGGGCCATACCATGTTTCTTATAAAAACTATTAGCCCGCGTTTCCTCTTGTGTACATGTACAGTGTTGACAGTTTGAGCCACATACTCAAATCCTGGTACACATGTGTGGGCCCAGAACAAGGATTTTGGTACTATTTTGCCGATGGACTTAACGAGAGGTTTAGTTCCCTCTGTGGCACAGGCTATTTAACGATTATTCCTCAAGCCGGAATGGGCTCTGAGTCAATAGCCCATAAGGCTGTAGGCTGAATGGGCTATTGACTCAGAGGCCATGATGGTGAGAGGAATAATTGTTTAGTAAAATCCAACTAGTTGGTCAAAAATATCAAGACAAAACAACTGAAAGCAAGACTTTAATCCTTTTTTTGCCGCCAAAAATCCTGTGCTTTTCGCTACTAGTGGGCTATAACATATAGCCTAGTAGTAGCTCAACCAATCAGAATGCAGCATTGATAATAGACCACTAGTTGGATTTTACTAAAGATACGTGTCAGTCGTGTATCTGCCATTTCAACTAATTGTGGGCCACTGCCATAAAATAATCAGACACGATCCAATCAATCCCTTTAATCCTATGCCAAACCTTTTGTTATTCAGTAAGTTAAGGGGTTGATCTGATCCCATCTTATCCAGGATTTGTTCATGCCTTAACTTGTAATTTCAGTTGCAAACATGGTAGTAATGGATGTTTTATTTATTTGTTTATTTTTTCATGTTTCTGCATAGAGTGGAATGCCCATGAGAATGCAGTGTTTGATATTGCATGGATGGAGGGAGAACAAATGTTGGTAAGATATATAAAAACAGACTATCACCAAAATAGTGTGGCCCTTTTAATGGGACATTTCTACATCCAAGTCCTTAACTCCAATGTGTTTACATACCAGTCATTGATTTTAGTATTTTAATTTTTATTGGTTATCTGTATGTAGTGAGCTTGCTAGCCATTGATGCAAATGTTCTGAGAGGTAAATTTGCTTCAACCAACCAGAAGCACTACCCAGATGTGGGTAGTGACATGTCATCAGTAAGGAATTTCTGCACTTGTTCCTCAGACATCATTTTATGGGGAGCCAGTGGTAACATTGCCAAATTTTGGCTGTTTTCCGAGGCTACTAGAGCTGCAGTGTTCCTGACATCCCAGCAGGATGTGATATCCCACCAGCAAATGTGCCTGGGTTGCAGCCGCTGCGATAACAGTTAAGGGTGATTCCTTAAAATTACACTAATGTATTATCTGTTCTTTAGGTGACAGCATCTGGGGACCAGACTATTAGAATGTGGGATGTTAATCGTGATCAATGCTTGGCTGTGTTCAAAGGCCATAGCTGCAGTGTGAAATCTGTGGACTTCAGAGAAGATGAAATATGTGAGTACCATGGATTGATGTCAGTGTTTTTTTATGTTGGTGGTTAACAAATTCATTATTCAAAAAGATTTTTATTCAGGAGCTTTTTCAAGAGATTTTTAATTAATAATAATTATTATTTCTTTATTTACTCTCAGCAGTATTTATAGCACTTATGCTAGTGGGGCAGAGCAACAGCCACGCTGCCTTCTAGTTAATTGCCATTGCACTGATTACTTAGCTGGGAAAATTTGCTCAAAGCTATTTCTCTCCACCCTGGGTAATGGTGCTAGTGACATACTGCTGGTTGTACAAAAGGGCAATTTTCACACTATTGGATAACTGGAAAAAGTTGGATAATTATTAAAATCATAGCATTAATATTTTTAAGAACTTTGAATATACATGTGCTTTTGTTATTAGCACAACTACACAGCCATGATATGCGGCACTATGTGAATCTTCAGATTGTTTTGAATACCTCAAAATTCCTACTTAAATCAAGCCACACACACATGCACACAAAGGTACTAGCCAAATTTTCCTACCTATAAAACTCCTAGAATGGAAAATTTCAAACCCCCCAAATCCTTCTTATTTATTCTGGTCACTAAAAATCCAGAGTACCCCCCAGCCTGGGATTTGGAAATCTTGTTCTTATTCTCCACGGAAATACCTGCATGTTCATCGGACAGCTGGACATCAATAACCTTATTAATCTTCTTACTTGCTTTTGCTTTTCTTGTCAGTTGTCTTTGCTACTGGTGCAAGAGATGGGAATGTAATGGTCTGGGACATGAGATGTAATCGTCGCTCTGGTCATTTTTACCAACCCATCAATGTTATATCTAATGCACATTTAGAAAGACTACCTGGTACCCGTCAGATGTCAAAAAAGAAACCTAGGAGATCTACTTCAAGACCTGTTATGGTTTGTAAATAAGTGATTTTATAGATTTATCCTTACTAATTTTAGTCATGCCTCATGATCCAAGTCTTGTCTTAAGTTGAGCCACACTACTCGTTAGAGATGTTCTCAAAGGGTGCTTGCACAAGAAATATGGCAATTTCTGCATGATTTTGGTTATGTTGACTTTGCTAACCTATGTGAAAGACTATCCAAATGAGTAGAATAAGGTCATGTAATATGCAATAAAACGAGGGGGTAGGGGTTGGGTGACAAGATAAAGACACACTTGGAGTTTTCTAATTTCTAAAAAGTAATAGCCTCCTAAAGGCAGTAGAATAACTAATCAATAAGACAAAAATAACAGTTGCATGGAAAACTGCATAATTCTTGGTAAGGTACCATACTTAAATTGCTGTGTCAACTTGCACATTCATTGCTTGCAGAACTCCAGCCAACAAAGTGTCACAGCAGTGTTATTTCAAGGAGGCGAGAAGCTGATATCAGCTGGAGCAGTGGATGGTAAAATTAAAATCTGGGACTTGCGCAAAACCTATACAAACCTTAAAAATGACCCCGTGCCTTTCCACATCTTTCCATACCCAGGGCAAGGAGTAAGAAAACATGGTAGGTAATAATATTTTGACTACAATGATAGTTAAAGTTTTTAAACTTTGGCTCAAATAGTCAAGCCTTTTTGGGGGGATCTTGCGGCTATTGGAAGACCTCACAAGATTGGTTTGCAACCGGTTGCAAAAACAGTAAACAAACAAAGGTAACAATGGAACCTAGCTTGAAAACAAAAAAGCTGCAACCCATAGATGTCCAACAATTAAGTTAGAGGTTCTGAAGAGCTGCAAGGCTACTGCTTTTTTTCACAACTGATATTCAGTTGCATAGTCAATTGCATAGATTAGTTTAGTGTAGTACTGTAAAGAATGCAACTAAACAACAGGCACACCGAGGTGCCGTTTTGTAGAGGTTTTGTAAAGAGGACATGACATGTCTGTTTTCCAACTTTTTATCCGACTTTCACTTTCAAATCATTGCAGAATGGAACAGGTGAAAATAATGTCCTTAGGTTTCTGGCCAGAATTGTAGCTGATCATCTCTCTCTTCTTGAAGAAATTCATCAGGCTAGTGAAGATAAACAGTCGATTTAAATATTCTTAAAACATAGCCAGTCTTAACGTCTTATTGATGCTGACAGTTTCGATGACTGTCAGCCATCTTTATCAAAACTTGAAAAAGATGAAAAGTGTCAGAAGCCTTAAATAGGCTTCTGAAGGTGTTACTTATTGCGATAAAGTCACTCTGTAGATGCCCCCTCCCCCCCTGGTTTGGGGGTGGAGATCACTTGTCTAATTAACACCTTCAGCCTATTAAAGGCTTCTGACACTTTTCATGTTTTTCAAGTTTTGATAAAGATGGCTAACAGTCATCGAAACTGTCAGCATCAATAAGACGTTAAGACTGGCTATGTTTTAAGAAAATTTAAATCGACTGATCATCACTCTCCATTGCAGGTTTTTCATCACTTGTTCTGGACTCCACCCACTCACGTTTGTTTGCTGGATGCACTAATGATCAAATCTACATGTACAGTTGTACTTCACTGGGACAGGAACCACTTGGCACCTTCTCTGGTCACCTGAACTCCACGTTCTATGTAAAATCAGCTCTTAGCCCCAATGACATGTACCTTCTTGGTGGATCCAGTGATAATAATGCTTATATCTGGAAGGTGTCCGACCCTACAGCCCCACCCATTGTTCTCAAGGGACACCTTGGTGAAGTCACAAGTGTTGCCTGGTGTCCCTCTGATCAGGGAAAGGTATGTCTGATTCCCACAAGCAGAGCTGTCTGCCCTGTGGCCCCTGGTCAGGGCTGTCACTAAGATTTCAAGTTGCCAGGTAAATGCAACAAGTAGCTGGGGAATCAAACAGCCAGGGATTTCTTTTAGTTCTATTTTTCTTCTACTTTGCTATGAAAGTAGCCGGGGGCCACATTCTTAGTAGCCAGGGTAAATCCCCAGCCCATGCCTCTTAATGACAGCCCTGCCCTGGTGCCTTAATTTTGCTCTTGAGTGACTAGGAAATCTTAGCTTTTTCATAGAAATACCATACTGGGAACCCTGGATTACACATGTTGACAGCACCTGGCTCCCGTCAGTATTTCTTGGAGCACAGCCTTGCACAAGGGTCACAATTTAAGGACTTGCAAGAAGTGGAGGGAGATAAAACTAAATTTGCTACTTGCCAGTTAATCAGTGGAAAAAGGGAGGCTTTAAGGGGCAACACTAAAATAGTGGACACAAGGTTCAAGTTTACATACATAAAAACCGTTACATTTTTACACTTCTCTATCTGTTGTTTTAGGTGGTGACTTGTTCTGATGATAACAGTTTCCGCATATGGTAAGCAGTTAAAAAAAATCATCCCATCATGCTTGATCCATTAACCCCTGATGGCCTGATTCATAATTATTCTCAGGCAGTCCCGCTCTTCTCTGGCCATCATTCAAAATATAAGTAAGCAAATTAACTTTCCTTGCTGGTACACCTTTTTGGTTTCATTAATGCATGCAAAGCCACTTTTAAGCAATCTCTTTTCTACTTTTTTTTTTTAACTCTCATTCTTAGCTACTTTCTTTCGCTGGGTCTTGTCATACAAAGTATCAATGCAACATTTAATTTGGCCTTTCAGTGGGTGTTTTTACTACTCTAGCAGCATTTTAGCCCAATGCAAAGTTCCAGCCATGCTGTGCCTTGAGCTCAGTGACTAGTTCAGGGGCAATTTACAGAGTGAAACATTTTGACTTTGTACTATTGTACCTTTATTTTTCAAAGGAGAATTAACCACCAAGCACGCAAGAACGACAGACTAAACCTGATTGGTGAAAGCTGCAAATTAGCATTGCAAACATCTGTCTCCCCTGTAAATGGTGAGTTGAAATAATTTCAACTTAAAAGCTGAATTATTCAGCTTTTAAGTTTTAAATAAACTAGAGGTATATTTGTGGAGATAGATGCTGCTGGCTTTGGATGCAATTTTCACACACATGAAACAAAAAAATCAAGATTTTGTTAGATAAGAAAATTTAAGGCCAAATCCCATGCTTAATAAAAGTACACTATTTCCACTTTAAATATAGGCAAAACAAAACTTTCCAACTAACTATTCTCCCATTCTACAGTATTTTCATGTCCCTAAACTAATATCTATATTTTTGTGTAGATAAAATAAGTGCATCAAGATTTCAAGACAGAACCCCAAGTTCTTCCCCCTCAACAAGCCCTGATGCAAAACGTCTTTTGTGGACTCCACCATCTAAACTTATCACCAACCCACGATTAAACCAGATTTCCAGTCCTGTTGGCATGGCAACCAGACTCAACAGCCCCACTAACAAAACACCACCTCAAAAACAAAACCTTCTCACCCAGTCTCCAAAGGCCACCATGAGTCCACCAAACTTGAAAACAGGTACCAATATTTAAATAATAATTACTTAAATTAATATCACAAACATGTAGATCTAAGTCTGGCTGACAAGGATGAGATGAAAATAACAAAATCATCTCACTTAACAGGAGAGCTATTATTTCACTTTTCTAGCTTGAAGTTCTATACCCTGTAAACCAGAGGTGGGATTCATCACTGTCAGCCACAGGCTGATACATTTTCAGCTGGAGACCAAAGCCGTGATTATACAGATTTGACTACAACAGAAAAGGAGGAAGTTCTAAGGGTTGTGCCCAAATTTTGTTGTTTAAACATTTCTCTCTAAAGTAAAAAGGATAGCAAACGAAAAAATAGATAATCCTGATAAGTTGTTTCAACAGGATTGATGGTAAAGATGTTGTTTTTCATCTGCAGAATCCCAATTGTTTAATAATAAAATTATTATTTTTCCACAGGTTTAACAGCTCATGCAATGCATGACGCCAAAATAACCACAAGCACCTCATTTGTTAGTTCATCACTGTCCCAACCCTCCTCCCCTGAGTGTATTTCAAGTCAAGTATCTTCACCAAAGCCACCAGCTGTAATAAAGTATCAAAGTCCCAAACAGTTGCTGGCATCCTGGTTAAGAACAAATTCCCGGAAGAGGAGATATAGTGACAGTGTCAGTACAACTGATGACACAAATAACAGTGTTAAGTCTGAATTAACTTTGTCTGACAAGATAAAAGAAAATTTGGGAGACAAGGAAAAAATATTTGTTTCTCATAATCTAGTGCAAGAACATGGATACAAAGAAAATAACATCAGTGGACAAAAATGCCCGGCAACATCTCCTTTGAGGAAAAGACGATGCTCTAGTGATCCTTTAAATTCTACAACACACAACAGTCAAGAAATTAATGTCAAACCAAATTCAAGTCCAGGAAAAGAGAACCATGTTGTTGATCAAGGCTCCATGGCGAGTTCAAAACAAGAGGAAAGTAGTGTTCCTTTAGGGAAAAATTGTAACAAACCCGTTACTGTGAAAGTTAAAAATCAGGTTTCTGTAGGTGAGAGACAGAAAAACTGGCTCACAGAGTGGAGTGACCACTGCAGAGCAAAGAATAGAGGCAAAGCCATTGAGCTTTCTGTCCAGGGAGGTGAGAGTAAAGACAGCAGTGAGACTATGAATTTAGCAAATGAAGAAAATAGAGACAATTTACAGGCTACAACTGCACAGGTGAGCAATTTTACACCCTCTTTTTGCCCATAAGCTACTGCATTTTCAGATCAAAGAAGGGTCAATTGCAAGTAAAGAAGGCATGATACTCAAAACTTGTGCTCCCTCCCACTACCACCATCCCAATTTAAGCTTGGTATAGGGGTGAAATATTTTGTGGGATCAAACAGTTAAATTTTCAGAAAATAACCACCTCTCGTTTTTTGAGAAATTGTAAATGCCGAGACTAGGAAAGTGTTCGAATAACTTGAACAAGTTGCAAAACAAGACATCACGTCTTTACCACATTCGACGCAGGTATAAGAAATGTAAAATGTAACAATAAAAATGTTCTAGAAGTCACCTCTCCATGACTGTTTTAATCCTTAAAGTCCCAACAGTGTCCAACATCAATACATATCAAGAAAAAAAGTTGCGGGAATTAAAATGATTACCTCTGGGAAAATGCTTTGATCTTTTATCAAATTCTCTAAACTTACTCTTTAAGGCAGTATATGGAGACCACTCTGGAGAATTTGTCTGTTGATATTGGGACTTGAAGGGTTAATGAGCCCTAGTCTCCTTGCATAAGACAGTGAAAGACATCATTGAAATTATTTTCTCTGGCACAAAACCCCTTTACTCTGACTGAATTTTTCATTTCATTTTTGGGAGGCAGCGTGGCCGAGTGGTCAGCACGTTGGACTCGCAATCCGGCGGTCCCGGGTTCGAGTCCCGCTCTGGCCACTTGCTGGATTTGTGCTCGGTCGTCCCGAGTTCAAATTCTCGGCCATGCTCGTAAATAGCCAACTGGTTGCCTTCTGCCAGTTGGGGTTTTTAATCCTGTTATGTTGCATTTGAATTATTTGTTTCTAAATATTTGAGTGGAGTGCCTGTAAATTAGCTGACTAGCTAAGTGCACCTTCCACTATAAACATGCCTTTAACCTTTTTTTTTAACCTTTATTTATCATTATTTTTATCCTAGGTGGCAGAGGTTCCCAAGCCAGGAAGAAGTATTTTGACTTACTTTAAACATGACATTGCCTCTTAAAATTTTCTATAACAAACTTTGCTCTCTAATGCTTTAAATGCAAGTGTCCATGGCAAAGTGCACCAAGCACCAGGACTAATTTTAGAAGTAACTTATTTTTGAGGTTGAGATTATTCAGAGATATATAAATTTTTTAAAGCATGTAACAATGTAAGATAATGAAGTAAAGGGAGATTATGTGTATCCTGAAGAACTTTCTGGTGAAGATGTTTATGTGCAAGAAAGGCGACAAGTTTAACACCTATATAAAAATTACTAGGATTTCAACCGCCATTGAAAGGTGTTATTGTTAAATAGTTTGTGTATTGCAGCCTGTGCTCCTGTAACTTCCATATGATGAAAAGAAGCCTGAGAAAACACCCAACATTTTGCAACCCTACCACTGGTTTGTCCGTCGCCATATTTGCGTGTTGTAAGTGCAAAAACTCGTTGGGAGTGGGGACCTACCGCCCCAAAAAAGCAATCTTTATCACAAGTACCAGACAAAGACAACCAGGATGGCAAGCCCCTCTCTGGACAATGAGGTGTGATGACATGTCACTTCCCTGATCTGGATAGTGCTTCTGATTGAGAGAAGCAAATTTCCCACGTGGCACGACCAATCAGAAGCACTATTCAGTTCTGGGTAGTGACATGTCAGCAGTATGGAATTTATTCAACAGTTCCACAGATATCACTTTGTAGGGAAACCAGTGGTGGTGTTGTGGAATGCCAGCTGTTTTTTGAGGGTAACAAAAAGTTACCTTTGATCACATTTGATCTGGGTCAATGATGTAACAAAGTTGGACTCCAACAGACAATGAAGCACATCTAAGGTAATCAGAGATGCTAACAAGAGTCTGCAATATTTTGCACATTAAATGTTAAGGCCTTTGATGAGTATCTAAGCCTTCTTTCAAAAGAACTATGCTCTATATTTGAAACAAAATATAGTTGTCCCCATTGACATAAGGCAAAGTTGGCCTATTAAGGCAAAGGTATGTAAAGTAAAAGCAGCCTTTCTATCTGATACCCTTTGCAAAGGGGATATTTTATGCAGTTTTTAGCGGGGCTCCCGCGCGCGCAAAGCGCGCGTGGGACAGAGCCCCATACACATGGAATATGGTCAACCTCTTTTCGTTTGGTTGTCACGTGATTGACCGAGCGTACGTACGTACATACGTACGTACGCGTCTACAGATTGTACGGGTGGGGTAGGGGAGACTATCAAAAGGAAGGGAGGGGTGTCTCAGGCGTGTCTTGGCAAGTCCACATCTTTAATATAGGATTTTAGGACATTCACAATATGGTCAATTGACAGCTGTCAAAACAGGATAGCCACTGACCAGTATCCCATGACCATATCGCGGGCTCATGTGTCAACTCATCGAGGTGACGTGATTTATTTGGAAGCTGTCCGCTGACCAGTTAATTGTTTTACTAGATCGCGAACAATGTTCAATCTCATACTTTTACTAGTTAAACTGATAATGCACACATATTGGACATCAATGTTTTGATCAATTGACAGCTGTCAAAACAGGGTACCCGCTGACCAGTATCACTTGACCGTATCGCGGGCTCAGGTGTCGACCCATCGAGGTCAAGTATTTTTTTGAAGTTATCCGCTGACAAGTTACTAGTTTTCAAGTGATCGCAGGCTCAAGTTCAAGTTTTTTCTAAATTCATATGAAATATGTTGTGTTTATGTGCTACACAATTAAAATTTTGATTGCAAACTGACCTCGGACGCGAAAATTCAGCCAGCTGTTACAGGCAGGGAAGACAGTTGCTTTTGACTTTTCTCACCATGGTCACGCGTTGGTCACGCTCTACGTCCAATTTTTATGCTCTGATTGGTCAAAATTTGACAGGTGAGTTCATGCGGGAAATTTATGCAGCATCTTGAATCTTGTTTACTTTGACAGCTGAAGCTGACAGAGTTTTGTGTCAACTTGTGATGTTTTTAACTGTCTTTTTCCACTGGATGTGCAAAATGAAATTCAGCTGCTATCAGGAGTCCTCTGTTATTCATGGCTAGTTTGTTTATTGGGTTTTTGGTTGAGGAATACGTCGCTTGTCAAAGTCGGATATCCGATTTCGGATGGCATCGTTTTCGTTTTCACCTTGCTTGATGCGTAAAAGGATTGCAAAGTCTGAAGCGATACTGGCTTTTCTTGATACCTTTCAGGAGCTCCATCTCGAATGGTAAGCCAGAGAAATTATTGTATTTGATGTTTGTTTTTTTGGATCTAATTTAATGAAGTCGAGCGGAGTTTATGCGGTCATTTAGTTTATGCACGTTTGTAAGATTTGAGACAATGATCTGACCGAGTATCAGGTTTGATATAAGCTTACAGAACTTTAAAAAGCCTTTCGACAGTTTCTCACCGCAAATAGAAAGAAAACATTCCAAAGAATATTTAGTTATAATTCTGGCCGGAAAAGAAAGCTTTGAGCGATTTTCTTGCCTCGAGTTCGTCTTTGAAAAAAGCAAACACCGGGAAGCCGGCTTAAAACATAAACTTAAGATTGAAGCTTGAAGACTCAGGATTTTTAGGGATACTTTAATATTTGTCTTCCTGAATGAAAATTGTTGTTTTTGTATATGTTTCACCGAATTATATTTCTTTTATTGATTGTTAGTAGTCTCTCTTGTAATTTTAATTGCTGTGCCGATTGTTTTCAGTCGTTCAGTGAACATCGCTTGCAGGAGTACTCAAAATGCCGCGCGTTAATAAACCATTAAATAAAAAATAAACAGAATAAATTCTCTATAATGTTGGAGCGTAACTCTGTTAATGTTCATTCAAACACTCACCACAGCTCGCACTGCAAAAGTGAGAACCGGATGGCCGTATAGGTGATTTTGGAAATTTTTTTAACAGTTTATGAATATCGAATGAGTGCAATTTGTATTGTGAAATACTGCTTTCTGTCCGAGGTCTGCCGGTATGATAAAAACAGCGCCTCATACTACTGTTTCACCTCAGATGTGATGTATAAATGGTATAAAAGGTTGGTTTACACGCACCCAGATTTGTTGACAAGATTTTGCAAAGTAAACTTGTCGAACGCAAAAAAGTTGGCCTGATTTTTTTTCCACTAATTAATCTACGGTGATCAAGAGCCGTTATGGCTCTTAAATGTGATCGAAGATGATTACCAGTTTTTGGGTGTACATATGAGGCTATCAACTGGATGTAAGATTTGGTTCACTCTTGGGCTGTTTGCAAATTATTTTTCTCTAAAATCAGGTAGCCTTTCCCTCAAAAGTCACATAAATGTGCTCTAAAGTTAACTGAATTGTGGAATTCGAATGGAAGTTTATTGTTTTATTTAAATTATAAATTTATTAATGGGAGCCTCGCTTTTAGCCCTGGCTAAATCTATATATTAAGCCTTAACCCATTTGCCCCTGAACTGCCTTTAACCGCCCATGCAGATCTATATCCCTTAAACAAGTCACTAATTTAAACGTCAAAGACAACTTTTTCATCAGTCTTGTGCAAGGGGAAAAAAGGGATCTTTCAAAACAATGCCGGAGGGAGCACAATTCACTAAACGAGGCCAAAGAAAAATGCAAAAATCTACATAGTGGCGTTTTGGGCAGTTTTGGCTCTTTATAGCCAGAAAGTGCTCAGAAAATGGTTTAAATAGCTTCAAATCAAGTTTTTCGGAATGATAATCTACAACATTAAGGATACTTAGTGCATATTCAGCATTGTGTAATATTTTCATCAGTTTTATTGAAGTTCAGTGGATAAACACTTATTAACAGTGTTTTGTTACAAAAACATTCTTGAAATGCACATAGTTCATTTCAATCTACTTATTTTAATTCTGATCACAGTTACCTACAACTTTAATAGGCATACACTCTTTCTCAAGAATACAAATAAAGCTAACTTAATCAAAATACTTTATTTTAACCTACTCACAAAACCACTACCAAGTCGGTTTAGGGAGAAAACTTCTCCTATTCTGCT